CCAATTCTGACCCTGGCGTGTGGCATCTGAACAATGATGTGCAGCTGTTGAACCGCACATAAAACAATCGACCCAAATAAGCCAATGCCGAAAAAAAAGGGCGAATCAGAGAGGAACCAGAAAACTGCTTTGCTAATGAGAAATTCCACTACATTATAATTTTATACAAATAAGGCAAATTTACCCACCACTGCTACAGCCGACTCCCCCATCCCCCTCCCCGTCACCCCTCCTATTGCCTCCCCGCTTCGCACTCCCGTTTTTTGTCCTCCTATTCCTAGCCTCAGAAACTTTAAAATGAGAAAGCTTCAGAAATTCAGAAAAAAAAGAAACAAAAATTCGGGGAATTCTATAATACTGACAGTTTTCCTATCTAACTTTATGTTCTGTTAGAGGGCAAGGCAAGACAGGAGGATGACCAGTTGGAGAGTCAATTCAACCTCTGCCCTGCCCGTTTAATTTTATGTTCCGGGAATTTGTACCCTCGACCCGGGAACTTCTGCCCTCAAAAGTGCTACCCAAGAATTTTTCTAGCATTTATCTTCCGTCCCTTAAGATTTCTCTTAGATTCAATCTGCCCTTTTGCGTAAGCTGTCCCGACACTATTTACGGGGTGGAAAGTTGTGATAAATGGGACGCATGAAAAGCTTGTTTCAAAATGCATTTACCTGTAGAGCTCCTGGAAGCTAATTTCGGCATTGCACCACTTCTGCTTGAGCGCATCAAACATCAAACGACAGAGCTCCTGGATATCGTGTTGCTCATATGCTGAAAAATTACAAAAACCTCAATTCGACAAATTCTGGCCAGTCAGAAATTCAGGCATGGATGCAAAAAACGCATAAAAATTGCATAGCTGCCGGTTGATTTCAAGTATCAACCAGCACTTCTTCAGATTTCAGGCAATGACCATCTGTTAAGTTTCTTCTGTAACGAACCTAAACCTTGAAACCACAACATCCAAAATCTATCCGAAAACATCAATGTTAACCGTCTACGCCGCCCCAGCTATTTATTGCTGCCTCCAGTTCTTGCCTCGAACTCCTGACTTGTGTCCTCGACCTCTATTCCATCCTATCCCTGCCCTCTACCCCACATCCTGCCTCCAGAGTGACATCTTGGCACCCATCTCTCACCACCCCCAATCACGGTTATCATTTATTGCCCCAAACTCCTGACTAGCACCCTTCTTCCCTTCCTTTATCCTATCTCTAACCCATGCCTCTCGAGGTGCATCTGGGCACCCACCAACCAAAGCCTAAACCTTGCACGTATAACATCCAAAAACTGTTAGGAAAACATCATCAGTGCTAACCATCTGCGCCATCCCAGCCAAATGAAGCTGTTAAATCGACAGTCTCCAGCGATTCCTGCTCACTGGTTTGCAGAAGTAAAAATAATTTCTGCAGTTGGCCTGGAATGCATGTCATCGCTTCGGTTTCTGAACCAGTAAATCGCCACCTGAAAAAATGTCAAAACCAAGAAAATGACCATTTTGACAAAAAAAAAAATAACCAAAATGACCAGAAAAACAATAACGGAGTTCCTTTTATAAAGATTTCCTAGGAAGGGATGGGAGAATTTTTTTGATGGATGGAATAATTTGAATGATTTTATTTACCTATAAATGGCATTTCGGAATTCTGGCGTCATGTAAAGCGTCTGGATAAGTGAATTGAGATAACAGGTCATCGCCTGATTGACCAAACCAACATAGCGATGATCGTTGTCATCCAGATTCGCTTCCGGATCATGTATTTCCATATCTGAGGGTGCTGGCAATGCAAGTAAATTTTCTCCACCAATAACTGCAATAGACTTTTTTAAGTTTTTGCCAGCAAATGGCCTGCTCGAGTGTAAAAGATCGAGGAGTTCAGACTCCATCAGTGGACACATCCAGTCCCTTTACGATTCGTTCATTCGCTTCAGTGTGCTAAATTGGTACTAGCAGCTGTAGGGAGATAATAACCCCCATCATTCTGCTTCCGAAGAAAATCTTGAAAATCAAGCCACAACATCTTTACCAGCGAGCGATTGCTATTGGCTATCACCAGAATATCGCGAAATATCCGTTCAGTTAAACTGTAACTCATAAAAAATACAAAATTCCTAGTGCCAATCTTTCATTCCCAATGCAATTTAGCATTTTTTAGTACAAAACAAACATCTATCCACTAGATTTAGCACCTCAATCATCCAAACTTTTACACTTTTTTGGGCCAAATTTGACTTCTTTTGAATAATTTTTCGTAAATTTTCATAAAGTTTCAACATCCTCGCCCAACCCCACTCATCAGTCCCCTAATAAAGGCCTCCCATCACCGCCGGTTTCATCTAAACGTGTCATTAAGTTAAAAAAAAAAAATCTTGCATTCGTCAAATTTTTTATGAAACGTACTGGGGCTAATTACGTCCGGGTCCTCGCCCTCTTGTTGTACGTGTGTGTCGACAGTATTTGACGTACACGGTTCACATGGGACCTCTTCTATAGCTGCTGCACAGATATCACCACCTGTAACATTATCGATAGCATTACTTTTTAGCAAAAGTGATTGGGCTAGAAGCTAGTTGGATCAAAATTTTACAAGGGTTTGTAAACTTCCTGACAGCTATAGCGAATAAGACACGAAACTCCTCTTATTCTTTTTAAAGTAGTTGGCACTCTGCTAACTTGAAAACTAGTCTGAAAACAGTAGCTGCAATTTTGTCCGAATATTTGTTGTTCATGTGGAAAATCGTATACCTAAATTGAGGTAAATCCCCTCTTCTGCTTCCTCCTTTTTCAACGATGCTGGAAGTATCACCTGGCAAAGAAGGGCCCTTGAAAATAAGCGGGCATGAGCTTGTGCTAGAAGTATCCGAGCCTGCAGCTGTCTCTGTTGCTTCGGGTGTTGCATCACCTGCCGCCGATTTACCCGCGTTTTCGCCTGATTCACGTATATTTGTTTCCAGTTCACGTGAATCTCCTCCATTCGATCCAGCACCGCTTCCGCCTGTTTCGTCGTCAGCAATCACAGCGGGAAGCGAATCCTCGTCACCGCGATCCATTGCACTTGAAAAGCCGGGGCGCTCTCCGGATGAAATTGTCCGGGCCGTCGCAAGAGATCGTCTCACTGCAAAGCATTCACTTTACACCTCTGTTTCCAAAAATTTTCACTTTTTAACGCGATCGCAGAAGAAAGATTTTGCATAATATAAACAAATTTTCACAAAATTCGCGACGTATCAACGAGGCAGTGTAATTGAGAAAAAGGAGTTAGAAACTGGTCATATGGTAAGAATGAGAGACAACAGACGAACAAAGCAGTAGTTAGAGACTGGTCATACGGCAAGAATGAGAGACAACAGACGAACAAAGCAGTAGTTAGAGACTGGTTATACGGCAAGAATGAGAGACAACAGACGAACAAAGCAGTAGTTAGAGACTGGTTATACGGCAAGAATGAGAGACAACAGACGAACAAAGCAGGAGTTAGAGACTGGTCATACGGCAAGAATGAGAGACAACAGACGAACAAAGCAGCAGTCAGAGACTGGTCATACGGCAAGAATGAGAGACAACAGACGAACAAGCAGTAGTCAGAGACTGGTCATACGGCAAGAATGAGAGACAACAGACGAACAAAGCAGGAGTTAGAGACTGGTCATACGGCAAGAATGAGAGACAACAGACGAACAAAGCACATTACTGAATGGCATTTACATATATTCACGCAGTGTTAAGTAATTGGCCAACGTACCGACTGCTGGTGCGAAGATGCGTTTTTTGCATAGTTTTCCGCAATTTTTTCGCTACCGGCACCGGTTTTTCCAGCAAGTGCTTCTAATTAAAAGAACTGAGACTGGCCGCCAGGACTGTCAGGAAGCATCCGTTTAAAATTTTGAATTTCTAGCTTTCCTGGTCCCCGAATTGGTGACTTACCCGCAAAAAACTTTCACAGACTCGTGCATAGGAACCACGCATACCCGGAGGCTAGCTTTGAACTCATTATGAGGAAATCCCCTTAAAATTCCAGTTTTCCAGATTCTCGGGTTCCCGAGTTAGAAAGTTACCCAAAAAGAACTTCGGCGGGACGTGGGTGCCACGCGGGTAAGAGCACCCATCTTGGAGATGGGGCTCCGTGTACGCATTAAGATGAAATTCCCAAAGTTTCAGCCCTGTAGCTTTTGTGAGTCTAGAGATGAAAAATCATGGACGCGCAGCGTACACACAGACATACACATACAGACAACCTCTCATCAATATGTGTTTTCTGAATTGCATAAGCGCAAAAAAACGCATAAAAAACACTGAATAAGCTGCCAGTGCGATGGAAAGACTGTTTGAACAGCCGTGTGGAATTATGCGGATGAAAGAAGCCCGAAAAAGCGAAGAATGGAGGAGCTGGGACGAAGATGTTGCATTATGGAGCTGAATGGACCTCCAGCGTACATGACTGACAATTTTTGCATGGGACCTGGTCATTTTTCCGGTGAATGCTCGTTCACTGACAAGATGCAAATGTGAAGCGAAACGGAATAAGAAGCCGAGATGCCAGTTTTATCAATGGCAAGGTGGAATACGGCGATGAAACAACTCACTAACATCATAACCGTCGTACTGACGAGGTCCAGTTGGAGATAAACGAGAATACATATGATTTCGTGAACTAAAAATTTTTCTTCTAGTTACAATTCTACTTCTTTCTGTATAAAAAGTTTAATTCTCAAACAGATTCCTGCTCACATACATACAATTAACAATCCTTTGAAAAACTTCCTTATAACAAAATTTGGCAGAATAATGCCGTATGTTTCTACCATAAGTTTTTATTTACCTTTTTATTTCTCAAAGTTTTATCTATTTATTTTGCCTTCCTACTATAAGCTTTTTATACTTGCGCAGAATGTAAAATAATATAAATATATAAGCTCTGTAGCGAATTTCCAGAATTTGTACTTATTCTTTTCCAGCATAAATTCAATTTTGCAAGTAATGCCGTACGCTCCTAAAAAGCACTGATCAGAGATTCTGAGGACCGACAGAATTATTGTGAAGAAAATACGAAAAAAAAAGAACAAAAAACGAAAAGATAAACGGAAATTTCATTTTAGAAATGTTATCCAGGAAACTCCAACACTCCCAATCGTTAAGATATTTTGTCGCAGGCAACTTTCCGAAGGAAATGGATTAAGCCTCAGAAACGGATTGGAATGAAAAACTGATGCTACGGGTATCTATCCGTAGCTAATTCCGCTCTTTCTTGACTTTTCCTCCTCCTAGCGCCTATTTCATCACATTGTACTGATGCATCCTAAACAGTAATAAGTACTAACAGCAATTATCTATTGTTAAATTTTCAAAGGGTAGCTTTTCTAAGAGTTACAATTAAGTTAGTGCGAGGCTTGACTCCCTGGCATATGCCAGTACCAATTTACCATCGAAACGAATGAACGAATTGTACGGAAACTTTAGGATAATAAATAACAGATCAATCTGAATATTATTTGCAAGAAAGCACTTTAGTAAGCAGTCTGTGTTTTATCCCTTAGCTGTATACACTGAATGAACGCAAGCATGCCGGTAGGAGTAGGAATCATCAGTACAGCCTCCTAGCCACTATGTGAAAGTGATATGGAAATTATTAGAGATGAGTATGTCGTATAAGCAGATTGTAGCAATCAGGCTCAGTCTGAAAGCCTAAATGGCGAAGGGGCGATAGATTACAATATGAAAGAAAGAGATAAGAGTGAGATAAGACATTTCGATGCATGAAGTCATATACGCCTTGACTCAACACCGCGACAGAATCTCGTCAGTATGACGGTTGCAATGCTTAATGGAAAAGACAGAAACACGTTCTCTCACTACCAATGCAGCAAGTGTTCCAAGGCATACTTGCTGTGGCAGCACACCGTGGCCAAAGCTCCTCCTGGTCCCTTTCCTCCCC